TTGTGATTGGTGAGGTGGACTCAGGAGTCTCAGAAGTCATTTCGACTGCTTTGTTTTTGAGCTTTGCCTGTGCTCTAGTTTCCACCATAAGTTTGACAAGTGTCCCACCGGTTCCACAAAGATTAAGAAAATGACCATCAAGAATGCCTATTGGAGGTCAGCAATGGAGTAGAGCTTCAAGGTTGCAAGCAGCTGCGACCTTATGTTATTCAAAAGACTTACCTAGAAGATGGAGTCGATGTAGGGTTTCCAGATTCACAACAGAGAGATGGGGACAATTCAGAACAGGTACAACTGCATGAGAGAGAGAGAGAGAGAGAGAGCGAAGAGAGAGAGGGAGAGAGAGAGAGAGAGAGATAGCGAATATAGACCTAAGAGAGAGAGAGAGAGAGAGAGAGAGAACGAATAGAGAGTGGGAGAGAACTAAATTTCAGAAAAAGTGTTATGTGGGCTGTAAGTGGACAATAAATATATATTTATAGGTGGTATTTGCAAAATTTTTGGGGAGGCTTGGTATTTCCACTTAAAACTAAAAAATTAGTGGCATTTTGGGCTATTTCCCTTTAATTAAACCCTATAAATATTCAAGTTCACCCAACAATATATTTTTTTTAAACACATTTAAATTCAAGTTTAACCCTATTAATATAATTTCCCTAATGTTTTAAATTTAGAAGAAGAAGTGAATACGTGCCTCACTACTTACCAAACATAAAATCTAGGTCATCGACCAGTAAAACTATTTCTGGGCATACATAATTATAGCTCTTCTTTGATCGCTTATGGTTGCCACATTGGCTTATACCTTAATCAACGCAAAGGGGACCCCGACATCAGACACAAAAACTTATTTTTTGTCTTTCATTTTTCTATTCCTAGACTAGGTTTTTATTTTCCAAGCAAGTAGACTAGAACGGTTCTTCGCTTTATTTAGTGTAACTTTAATTTCTTGCATTTTTCATTATGTTGTTTTAAGATTCAAGTTTATTAGTTTACTTTTTGTTATCGAATTTACTTTAAGTTTAATTTGATTTTAGATTTATTTATTTTATCACCTTTGTCGTTCATATCGTTCTTGTTTCATTCTTACTTAAAGTTACGTTTTGCTTCGATCTTATTTTTACATTTACTTTCTTGTTATTTTGTTTAATCCCCTTTTAATTTAATTTGCGTCATTATCATTAAATCCCAAAAAATACTGAAAATACCCATACGAGACCTAACAATCCTCGACCCCGAGGAAGTGAAAGGACCTAGGCTAAGAGGAGGTTCTTTGCTTGGTAGAAGTCAAAAGTGCGAACACAACAATCCAACTTTTTCCATTCAAGCCAACTAGTGACTTGGTCGTGACACGCCTACACAATCCAAGAGAAAAATGACCAAAAGTTTCCTCCATCGGCCACCTCGGCCGAAAAGAGAGAAACAGTATTATTATTTTTTTGGACACAACGAACAGTATTATTATAGAGATAGTTGTTGTGAATTTTATTGCAAGCGCACAATTCGCACAAGTAATATAGAATTAAGTAGAGTGTCGTTCCCACGAAGACTGTAATTTCCTATTAACTATCAATTATGATTAATTCAAAAGTTTATCTGAACAATTGATTAAGAAGATTGATTGATTTAAGTAAACTAAAACAATTATGAAAAATAACAATTTAATTAACGATGGAAAATCAAGTTTGATTAGACACTAGAGCATCCGATTTCACCATAACCAATTCCATTTAATTCTTTTAGCCAATTAACCCTAATTACTATCGATGTTGACAGTTGGTTTCTCCTAATTCATTCGATATCCCCTCTCGGGCTCAACCAAAAGTATTCTTAATTAACAACCCATTCTCTCTCGAGCAACAGATTTAGAAAATTAAGAACCCATTAAGTTCTATGAGAACCTGCAAGAAAATTGCATGAGTCATGTTAGTCCCTCTCGGGCACTCATTCAAGTCATGGTATTTGTTACAAGAAGCAAACACCAAACATCTCCTCTCGGTCTCCGCTTGGATCATCAATTAAATATTAGCTAGATATTTAAATCATTAAGAACAATAACAAATACTCAACATGGGATAATAATAAGGAATTAATATAACTATAAAAATTAAGTATTCATGGTTAGGCTACATCGTAGAGGGCTTTAGCAACGGATAAAATCCGTTGCCTATTACACATAAATACCGTGGTATTGGTGACTGTTGCCTATTCCTATGTAATAGGCAACGGATATTCTCCGCCGCTGTTTATCACTTACTACATCGGATATCAAGTAAACTCCGATGCCTAAATGATTTCCGGGTGCCAAAAAAAGGTTGACTTATGACGCCTAAACCCGAAACAGCATCAGTACTTTCAAAAGAGAGGAGGCTAAAGAGATCTAACATCATCAGTAGTTTTGAAAGGGGTGAGGCTAAAGGGGTCTAACAGCATCAGTAATATCTACTATGTTGATGCATATTATCAATTACAACATCATAGAAACAAATAATGGTGTTGTGAATTATGTTATACATCATCGCTTTTTTTATTTTGCGGACGTGAAAAGCCTCCAATAGTGTTGGTGGTTACATAAATGCTTATGCTACTTCTCGTTTTAGGCATCAGTGATAATGGATGTCTGGTTGTTGTTTTTATCTTTCAACTTCAGTTATTTCTGGAAAACTGAAGTTGTTATAAACAATAGGCATCATTTATGTAAGGAAAGGGTAGGTATTTTGATTGTTTCACATAAACAGTAATTTAAATATATCCATACTTGTCTACATATATATATGCGCAAAATACTTGAATTATCCATACTTGTCACATCCAAATCACAAATTTACCAGCCCTACACCACAAAATACTAGCTAGAAAGACATGTAAAATGAAGGAATGTTTAGCTCAATCAAAAAGTCATTCTAGGACATGAGTTGCCAATTCTTCTCGCACCTCATCCAATTCCATTTGGGTGTAAGTGTCCTTCCTTCTAGCTCTATACTGGAAAAAAAAAAATGTAGAAGGTAAACACAAAATATGAACATAAGCTTAAAAAGTGCAAGGTACTAAATTTGCATAAGATATGTTGTCACTTTAAAATAACCAATATGCAAATTTACGAAATCATATTGGTCAACAAGAAAATCTAATTTGTCAACCAATCTAATTAGATAACAGCAAGTCATTAAATGGATCCCACTCCTGTTTCAACTAGAAATTAAATGATCATGTGATGAGGTAGAGAGTAAGCCATGTACTACACAAAAATACCCTCTTTTGAATTTCCTGCAAATTGAATTGAGGTTCAGATAAATAAAAGATTTCAAGTATATTATTTTCTTGTAGATGAAATTAAACTCTTAACGAAATAAGCCATGTACCATTAGTGCAAATATATACCAAGTAGGCACAACATTTAAGAGTAAGATAAGAATTCATAAGCCATGTACCGTAAGTGCAAATATATATTATTGTCTTATGATACAGAGATTGAAAATTTGCAGAAACAGAACAATAAGGCCCTTCCCACCATTGACTTCTAAATCGTGCATGCATTGATTATAAAAATTGGGAATTTTAAATCCAAGTTGCTATAAAAATTGGAGTGGGATAAGTGGGGGAAGGAACATAGAAACTCAACTGGAACACAAAGTCAGGGATGGTCAACAACTGCTCACGATGAACATATCTGAAGAGCTGCAGTAATCTATCTACATATACCACTTTCTTCCAGACCTAGAAACAAAAGTTAGAATGACATTCACTTGAAGCCATTTTCAAGATATATGTAGTCTTAAGGAATAACAATCACAAACAAAGTTAGGCATACCAAATTGTCCACAAACAATTGCAGAGCAAATATTGCAGCCTTCATGCCAAAAGTTGGGTGAAGGACATATATTGCCTATATAAAGAAGATAAAAGTTCAGAGAGATGATGGCATATATATAATTGCTTAAGTACTTGGACAAACTCAGTGGTACCTACATGCAGATTACGTTGGGGTTTACGACCAAGTATTTGTTGTACTCTTCTCATCCACCCCAAGTCTGGCTGACTGCAATACATGCAGGAAATGAAACCGAACTAGTTACAGATATTTACATATAAGCTTTTCAGGTACAGTTTTATCACTTCACTTGTATTCAAAATTAGAAATTAAACTCCACCAGACAAGTTCACATGGAGCGGAAGTATAGATTAGAAAAGTATAGATTTGCAAACTTAACTATGAACCAAACTTAACTATGAAGAACTTACAGCTGTAAAGATGCTGCAGAATGGAAGTATACAAAAGACAAAATAAACCAAAAAATCTATGCGTGGGTTTTGAGAAGTGAATTTAGGACAACAACATAAACCAAAAAATCTATGCAGATCAATAAGACAAAATAAATGTGTTTTAGGTTTTACCTGAAGGAGAATTAGGAGTTGGAGAAAGCAATTTGCTTACTGTGTTTGAAACCTAAACATAGCAACATAAAAAATTGGAAAAGGGTGAGAGCATATATGAATTGGTTTGTCGGCTTCTCTGCTGTATTCCTTTATTCTGGGATAGATTGGACATATATTAATGTTCAGTCATACCAAGGCACAACTTTTTATATTTACTAGAACCACTTGAAAGGTCACTACATAATAGATAATTTACAATTGAATTTTTCCTATAATGCCCTATTAGTAGTTAAATGCGTCTTTACCCAGACAAAGACAAACCAAAATCAGATGAGAGATGGAAGGTGATTTATTGGAAGGCAGATTATAGTTCTCGCTTAACTAGTAAAACTTAATTTACCACACAAGTGATATTTCACAGCTTATTGTCATATATGAAACAATAAACTACCTGCTAGGAGAGACCTTCAACAACCATACACAAATTAGTTTCATACCACGTACTTTAGTAGTTTATAACGAAAACTAATTATACCTATATGTAAACTTAGAAGGCCCTAATCCTGCAGTACCACAAAAAAATTGGAAAAGTTGGGACTTCGGTGGGTTTGTGGTTTCAGAGGTTAGTGAGAGAGTAAAAGCGGAGAGATGAGTAAGGAAAAGTGTGAGAGCAGATACGAATTGAGCGAGAAACTGAGAACACAGAGATGAGTTGAGCGATATAGCAATCTTGAGAAAGAGAAAATCGTAGATCCGTCACCTCCAAATACCTGCACCAAAAGGTAAGCATGAGATCCATAAACATTAATACATAAATAAAATGAAAAAGGTAGGAGATTGAAGAAAGATGAAAACAATTCAGAAACATTAACACCAAATCAGAAACACCCAAAAATCAAAAGGTTAGAGATTTTCATACATTAGATTAAAGCCCAGAGAGGCAATGAGATCCAAGAGACAATGAGCCAGCCGCAAAGAGAAAAACACAGTAAGATTAGAGAAATTACTCAATAAATTGAAACCCTAACTGAAATTTCCCAAAACATTGAAACCCTAACTTAAATAATCTCACACGACGACGCGACGAGAAAGAGGATGCCAACGCCGAAGGTTAAAACCCTAATGAAGGGACTTCCATGGCTCTCTCTGGACGAGGAGGAGGATGCCTATGGCTCTCCCTTTCTTCGAAGGCCTTAGGTCATTTTTGCTGTGGCCAAACTTCGAGTGTCTAGATGGAGGAAAGAGAAGAAGGAGATAGAGGAGATCCAAAAAAATTGTGAGTTTTATTTTTTTAGGAGATAGAAGCTGAAAAATGGAGAGTGAGTTTGGGAGGGATTGAAAAAAAATGCGAGGGAGAGGAGCCAAGGTTGCGAGGGAGTCTGAAAAAAGGAGAGGGAGCGTGAAATTTTTTTGTTGGAGCGTTGACTATACTTTCAGCATCAGTGCTTCCCAAAAAAAAGCCCCCCACTTTACAAAAAAAAAAAACAAAAACACTTTAGGCATCAGTCGTTAGAACAGATGATGCTAAATTGGCATCAAGGCATCGCTAACGAAAACAAAATATTTGTGCTGATGTCTTTTTATCTTTTAGCATCTTAATTTATAAAAGCAATGTCTAATGTACTTAAAGCATCGATTTTCAGTTTTACTGATGCCAATGTAGTGTTGCTAAAGCCAAATTTTGGCATAGTGTAGCCCTAGCAAGGGAAATTAGTTCATGACAAAAGAAAAATATAAACAAGAGAATTATTGTCATAAAACCGATTTGGCAGATGGATTTGATCTTCGGAGTCTCCACAGGAACACCTTCGTAAGCTCCTCAAGTAGTGCAGCAGCAAATCCTTGGCTCTCTCTGATGTTTCTCTGGGTGTATGAAAGTTGGTGAAAAAGATGATATAAGGGAGGATGATCCTCTGAAGAGATGGTAGGGAGATCTTATATATTGTAAAACAACTAAACCCTACTCTTAAAAGGTCTGGAAAAACTCTCCTAAAGCAAAACGAAATCCCAAACAATTAAGGAAACAAATTAGGAAAGAATCCTTCTTTGACTTGGAAACACGTCAGCCATCTTGCACGCACGTTTTGGGGTCGTTCCACTTCCTATAAAATTCTGGAAAAATATCAGAAACGTAGCTTTATCTCTAAGCTTTCCAAGCATATATTACACGCCACTAGGAAAAATCGGAAAGGTCTTCAAATCTTCAATCATCAACAGCAGTGCAGTTCTGACGGGATTTCAACTTAGGCTGTCTTGACTTGCAAGTCTGGAGCATTTGGCTTGGTAGAAAATTATGAAACTTTGACGCAATGATCTTCAATGTCTTAGCTTTCTTCTCCAATTGGCCTTGCACTAAAATTCATTCGAAAAGTCAATTTTCAGTTGAAATCCTTCCAAGAGCGCAGAATCGCTGAAAATAAGGAAAGTAAGGTAATAATGCTCTTTCTAATTAACTTTCCCTACAAAAACCAAATAAAAGAGGTATAAAAATATAGGAAATAATACACTTATCAATAGTATTATTATAGAGATAGAGAATGGTGAGGTCTGTCAAATCACCTAGTGATGCTGGTGATGAAAGAAGCTGAACATACAGGGGAAGGCAATAAGCTACAGCATACTTTATAACAAGTCAAAGATTTCATTGTTATATTATAAGATATTGTTTGTGTGGATCTGCTAGAGAGCATAATGATATGTCATAAAATCCAAGTCTCATGATTTTATTATGTGGCCTATTCTCTTTTCCACAATAAAATCTAAGTCTTCAAAGTTCAAGACTTGGAAAGGTCTTTCCATTTTTTTTGTCATTTTCTTAATTGGAAGACGGTTTGGGAAGACTTTTGGGGTTTTCACACCCTGGAGTCAGAGTCTTCGTCTCTTTGGAAATTTTGCATTTTTGTGTTGGAACTGAATGAAATGAAATTGATAGAAGTAAGAGCTTCATTGGATGTTATTGGTGGATCATTGTATGCTTGACAGAAGGCCAAAGAGACATTCTAAATTTTGATTCCAGCGCTTTGACTTTCACCCACTGTTTGTGTCATAATCTGCACTTCTATCCAGGAATTTAGTCCCTGATGAATTTATTATGAGCTAACTTGCGGTTTATATGACCTGATTTCATGAGCATTCCACAAGTGATTAGCATTTTCTCAAAGCATGCTTAACTGGAAGTGCGCTTGCAAGACAGCAATTGGTAGTCCTGTCAAGCAAAGCGTGCTTCTTGTTTTGGTTTAGTGGAAAAATTAATTCACTCTAGCTTACCCAACAAATCTGAAGAATAACTCGTCAATTTAATTTTCATCGACGCCACTCATTACCATCCTCTTTTCTTTCTTTCTATTATGATCTATATTCATCATGAACGTGAAGAATTGAAGTTTCAAAGTAATGACTACTACAAAAAACAAAATAGACGACGGGAATCCACCGTTGTGTATCATGTTTTACAACCGACGAGAAATCGACCCCCGTCTTTTAACACATGAAATAACGACGGCAAATAACCGACGTGGTTAATATATTACACGTCATAAAAAACACTAAAACCGCGTCGATTTCATATACGGCTTGAACATAGAAACAAACGACGTAAATTTAACATTAGACGTCGGTTAATTAAAATACCTGTCATGTTTAATCCATTTACTACGGCCTAGGAGTCACATTTTAGGATGTTGTTAGTTGTTTACAACGTCGGTGGTTGTAGAGTTTGACGTGGTTGTCATTTTAAAAGTCTCTTTTGTGAGCCACTTAGACGTGTGTAATCTCTGAGACGTCATTGCTTTTATCCTAACCGTCGTTAAAAAGTAACGAAACGCCTTGAGTTATGGATTTGACGTCGGTTATTGTAAAATGAAGGTCGTGGTTACACTTTACTATGTCCCAAGAATTCAATTATTCGACGTTGTTATATGATTACACGTCGATTAATTAAAATACCTGTCATGTTTAATCCATTTACTACGGCCTAGGAGTCACATTTTAGGATGTTGTTAGTTGTTTACAACGTCGGTGGTTGTAGAGTTTGACGTGGTTGTCATTTTAAAAGTCTCTTTTGTGAGCCACTTAGACGTGTGTAATCTCTGAGACGTCATTGCTTTTATCCTAACCGTCGTTAACAAGTAACGAAACGCCTTGAGTTATGGATTTGACGTCGGTTATTGTAAAATGAAGGTCGTGGTTACACTTTACTATGTCCCAAGAATTCAATTATTCGACGTTGTTATATGATTACACGTCGGTTAATTAAAATACATGTCATGTTTAATCCATTTACTACGGCCTATGAGTCACATTTTAGGACGTTGTTAGTGTTTTACGACGTCGGTGGTTGTAGACTTTGACGTGGTTGGCATTTTAAAAGTCTCTTTTGTGAGCCACTTAGCCGTGTGTAATCTCTGAGACGTCATTGCTTTTATCCTAACCGTCGTTAAAAAGTAACGAAACGCCTTGAGTTATGGATTTGACGTCGGTTATTGTAAAATGAAGGTCGTGGTTACACTTTACTATGTCCGAAGAATTCAATTATTCGACGTTGTTATATGCTTACGACGTCGGTTATTTATTTATTCCATGACGTGGCTAGTCTTTGTTAAGCCTCTTTTATAACCTTTTTTGATGTGTGTATTCTCCGAGACGTCAATTGTTTAATTATAACTGACGTGAAACAATGTTTTTACGACGTTAATCATCAATTGACTATATTCGTAAATTCGTCGGTTTGAACTCTGCCGTCGTGTTATACATTATTGTTCGTCGTTGATTAATTTATTTACCGTCGTTGTTTTAAATATTTATTAACCGTTTCGAAATGAATTTTAATTAACCGACGTGTTTTCTTTTTCAAATGGCGGGTTTTATTTCATTTTTGCGTTGTCATTCCATGTCGGTTGTGAAAACCCGACATTGGTTGTTTTGTAGACGTCTCTTTTTGCGATTTTTGTAACTTGACCGTCGTATTTTCAGCTTTAACCGATTATTTTTAATTTTTGATTTGTCGTGCCCAAAGCCTGCAGAATGAAAATGTTATCGGAATTAAAATGATATACAAAGCAATGAATTAATGTCATACAATTAACTGCATAACTAATGTCATACATTACAACAATCAATCAATCCATATATCATCACACCCATCTCTAATATTCTCACTCCCAAACTCACCCACTAGGTCATCAAATGTGTCAACATTTGGTATCCCTC